AGTGGAATGTTTGTCACGGGCAATAATTTATTCTTGAAGTGTTGTTCAGTCTCCCGGACATAAACAAATGGTGAGGATCATATAACTGGTCGTGTGGGACTTACGGCATCTGACACAAATGATGTACATATATATCCTGTGTCCCATTCCATAATTCTTCTCCGAACATCCCGTTTACAGAAGCGTGACTATGGAAAGCCAATACAATACGACATAGTAAGCTGAACGGATTATGCTATATGGTTTCTAACACATCGACTCTCCATGTGTATTTTATCTGGCCTCGAACATAACATTTAAGAACATAATCGACAAAATAAGCTATAAACATGCATGGGAGCACGTAAAACATCCAAGAGCGTATATGAATATAATCACTTAAGACATGACTAGTAGAAGTATGTATACAAGACAACAACTATTTATTTCGCTTCATTTCTGCATGCCTGAACAACGAAAAGAACAAATGACAATTCAAAAATAAATAATTTCAGAAAATCTGGGAGTGGCTAGTATACTCATTTCTGCAGTTCTTTACATGTTTAGTATGAAAGACCCCCTGTGAAATTCGTCGCCCATCACGGTAAAATGACTTTCGGATGACAACATTTAAGATGGGTCGAGTAATATCTTAACCTTCCTCAAAAAAATAATTATCCTACGAAATATGTCAACAAACACATGAGACAAAATTAAAATTGATGATAACAGCTACTGTGAATGATATATGAATGGCAAATTACTAGTTTCTCAGTACTTGTCTATAAGCTTATTCTTCAATTACTGTAGCCATAAGAAACTAAGCAATGTGCATGAGGTTATTCTGCTATCAACAACCTCGAGCGGTAACTGTCCACAGAGAAAGGCAATTACCTACAGCAAATAGGCTACTCGAAGTAATCGGCCTATAAACCGTGACCTTATATTCCTCTGGAACATCTGAGGAACTAATGATGACGAAGTCACCAGCTCCATTTGCGTTATCGATGACAAATCTTGAAAGGGCTGAAAGATAGAATAGGAAAAAGGGCAAGAAGTAGAGCAGACAATATTCATGCATACTGAAATTAAATCATTTGTGTTGAAATGGCTACTTAATCTAATTTTTACTTATCAAGGTAATTTTTAAGCAAGAGCATCCTAGTAGGTTAAAGAAAACAAGCCTAGATATGTTATGAATGGACAAAAACTGTATAAATGGAGGTGGTTCAAAAAGGAACCCAAAGTATAGGATTTTGTGCAGTTTTAAAATATAGTACTTAAAGCAGTATTCCGATACACAAACAATTCTCTCTCCCCTTATTTTTCTTTCTGTTTTCTCTCATCGACGATATTTCAGCTCATGTTCCTTATTGTAAATTTGGTAGGGTCATGAGTGGACTTCATTTGTGTAGCTTCATGTGTAATGAGATTCCTCGGTAGGAAGTAAAACTACTTCAAGGTTACAAACATGTATCTAAAAGGTATCTTGCATAATAAATTAGCATCACTACCATTGTTTACTTACATCCCGCTAGACCATAAGAAGCGTAATTAAAAGAAATGTCCTGTCCCACAAACATGGATAAATTGAAGTTATCTCCCGATTATCATGTTTGGTGGTCGGTAACGCCCCATTCCCTCCTCTTGTGATGTTAAGTTGTTTTACGTTTGTGGTATACATGAATATTACTTCGATCTAAGCACCATGTTGCGCACCTTATTGGAATAAACTATTTCTACTAGTTCCGTTGCACAAGCAAATCAGATAGCTGAAGCTATTTTTTACGGGTTAGGTATCCAGTTAGTATATATGTGGAATTATAGTCTACTATGATGTTAGGACTACCCTGACAATAGACCTAATCCTAAACTTGTGGATCTGTCATGATATAAATGCCCAATCTATAAGATCTTACGTGGAAGTCATATCATCGTCTACACCAACCCACTGCATCGTAACAATCACCAATATATGGTTTAGAAAATACTTGGGCTAGAGATAGGACAATATATTTAATATGAATAAAAGATTACGTTACAACACTTAAAGTTGACCATGCATGCAACGCCGAGCCATGCCGTACGATCATTTCGAATTCACACCATTCCTTCGTCCCGCGTTCCCCATCATTGTGTTTTTCGCCGCGTTAAATATTTAATATCTATTTCCCAGTTGTCTCGTGTCCAGCTTTAAGGATTGTGTGGTTTGGGCCACTACATATGCACTGCCATGAAAATAAATAATGGCAAAAGTTAAGAAATCAAGAGTCAGATAATATGTTGTTTACAGATGGTAAGGATAGATAGCAAGTCAAAGAATATATAGGAGTCTAGAATTGTAGAAATGTTGGAGTAATAAAACAAACATTGAGCGACTCACAAGTATTTAGGACATTATGAGCTTCTTATGATTAGTCATAGGTGATCATCATCCATGAGATTAGTAAGTTATATGTTTACTTGTAGCAGAAAAAAGGACATGACACTTAGGAAGTATAATTTAATTTTAACCATTAGAGGAATTTGGAATCTGAAAGTGAGGGGTGGGAGTAGAAGGGCATAACGAATAATCAATTAATAATGGGAAGGGGCAAACCATGTGTTCTATCATTTTAGTTATATTTACATTGATGACAATTGGAGGCCGTTTTGTTCATGATCGTTTTAGATATTAGGCGGTTCGTAATCAAGTGCCTCGTTAGCTGGTGGAAGTTCAGGAAATTGTTGATGAAGCTCTTTAGTGTCAAGTAATAGTGTTATTTGTCTTTTGAACTTGGTGGTAGTGTCACAGTTACGGATAGGTATTAGCAATCTATTCCATAAAAACTATACCGTACCGTAAAGAACTTACAACGCAATGATTTCCGGTGTTTTACTGTAAGCGGTGTATATGAGTTGTTTCTGAGTATGTAGACTGGGTCATGGATCATGGTTGGGTAGGAGGTTAATAATGTGAGTCCATATATTGCTTTGTAGAGAAATATTAGATTGTTCCTTAGCCTACGGTGTCATAAAGGTCCTAAAGTGAGGTGCTTACATATATCTGTGTAATCGAGAGTGGAGACACATCCTAGCAGTTGGAGTGCGAAGCGTCTTTGAACATCTACTCTTATCTTGTATGTGGTATTCGTATCTGGGAAGATAAAAGAGCAGTACTCAAGGGGGGGGTCGTACACACATTTTGTCAAGAGTAAGCTTAGCCTCTGTTCTAAAGAAAGCCTTTATGATGAAACCAATCATCCATCTATATACAGGAATAATAGAGGTGACATGTTCGTCAAAGTTTGAGCTTCATGTGTAGATCGTGCACTGATTCGACTGTTTGAACTCTACTTTTATTTAAGTAAATTTTAAATCAGGGTGTGTCTTCAAAAATACACGACCCTACACTTGTTGAGGTAAAGTGGCAATTACCATTTTTCACCCCAGATAGTTTGGTTATTGAGGCCACTTAGAATCTGGGATACACTTCCACTTAGAGCCCTAGGCTTAAAGCTGAATAATATTTTGAGATCATCAGTGTATACGTATGGTCTCCAAAATGTTATCGTGTTACATATATAGTTTACATATATCGCTTATATACATAAGAAACAAGAGTAGACCTAATATACTTCCATGGATGACCTCTGATTATTGGTTTGGTTGACGAGAGACAGTTATCTTTACCATTTGTCTAAGTTCTGTTAAGAACGGAGCAAATCGTGATTATAGTAGGACTTTATTCGGACAAGAAGCCTTTCGTGTATGACGTAATCAAAGGCTTTCTTAAAGTCTAAGGATAGGACTTATACAGAGAGTTCGTTGTTCCGTTTCAGGGTTATATCATCCAGGTAGTCTACTAGGTATGTATGGCATAATATGGACCCAGGAAACCCATGCTAGAAGGTCAAGATGAGACTGTTAGTAAGTAGTTGTTGAACTACAAGTTATGAGAATTAATGAAAAATGCAAATAATAGCAAAAACTAATTACAAATTAAGTCAGTTTTAACAATCACGTTAATTTGTTGTATGAGATGAGTGAAACAACGTACATGATAGTGATTTGGTAAGGACACCATCAGACAGGATGTACTTAGCAAAAATAATAAGCTCAGGATTAATCCCCAAGACTTATGGGACTTTTTTAGGTTTACTTATCGCTACATACATATCTTTTAGTATGTCTAGACACATGCTGTATGAAATGCAGATAATTTGCCAGTATTTTATAAGGTTAATGAGAGATTTCCAATAAGAACTTTGAATTGCACCAATCTGAGAGTGACTCTGACTTTAGGGACAGTGGGAAAAACATTTAGATTGTGTTGTTATTCCTTCTTACATAGTAAGAAACCAACTCATCCTGAGACACAGTTTACTTGTTAAGTGACTGTGTACCAACTCAAGCATAAAATTACTGATAAATTTGCCTGCATGATTAACTAGAGTACGCTGATGATGCAACCTCGAGCTATGGTGAGTGAATCAAATAGCCACTCATTTTAGTTACCACTAATTAGTCCACTTGAATGTTATTAGGAAGCCTCAACTTAGACTTTTATTGAAAAAACATGGAGGAGCATATCTGGACGCTTTCTTTTTCCCTGTATTTGAATGATCAAACAAAAGACTCAATTTCTGTGAATTACCTCACTTATTTCAGCATCATACACCAAAGTAAAATCGTTGGCTTGAACTACCGGTCAAAGATGAAGCTCAAAAAAGTACACTACAAACATTATGATATTTGTCCAACGATAACACTATCAAGCAACACATAACATCATATCTGAAACTAGTTTCTACGGCAGGGAAGTTCTGAAAAACTTGTATCATTCACGAATATTATTATGACATACGAATTGATGTTCTTGGGAGAGCCAGTTTACCATTGGTCTCATTACTGTTGCAATTGTCTTCCTTTAAGAACAAAACCGATTCTAAGAAAGAAATGTCTGGTCTATATATCTTATATAACTACTGTATGAATAGCTCGAACTCTGTTTTTGCTCGATATTGGACACAATTAATAGCATTGTTAGCTTTGCGTACTTCTGTACGCGGTTAGTTTGATTTTGGCGTGGAGGTAGGTTCTCTGTTCTTGTAAGTTACTGAACGCTCTAGATGGGTAGGGTTATTCGAAGCCAGCGTAAGGGTGCCGGAGGTGTTTTCAAAGCGCATACCAAACATCGTAAAGGAGCTGCTAGGTTGCGTCCAAACGATTTCGCTGAACGACATGGTTATATTCGCGGTGTCGTTAAAGAAATAATTCATGATCCGGGTCGTGGCGCTCCGTTAGCCAAAGTGTCCTTCAGAGATGTATATTCATACAAGTTGATCAAGCAAACATTTATCGCGGCGGAAGGCTTGCATACTGGACAGTTCGTGTACTGTGGTAAAAAAGCCAAACTTCAGGTAGGGTTGTTGTATTTTACTATTAACATCAGATTGGCAACATCCTCCCAATAGGTGCAATGCCTGAAGGAACCGTAGTTTGCAATCTGGAGGAGAAGTGTGGTGATCGTGGGAGGTTAGCTCGTGCAAGCGGGAATTATGCCACTGTTGTCGCTCACAATCCCGACACTAAACGAACTCGTGTCAAACTACCATCAGGTGCAAAAAAAGTTTTGCCATCGACTTGCCGTGCCATGGTAGGTCTTGTTGCCGGCGGTGGTCGGGTAGACAAGCCCATTTTAAAAGCAGGTCGAGCCTATCATAAGTATAAAGCTAAAAGGCATTGTTGGCCCACAGTCAGAGGTGTTGCCATGAACGTAAGTTTCTTTAGTAATATTGCAACCTTGATAATTGTGTTTATGCTCGAAACATCCTCAGGTTTTGCTCCTGGATTTTTTGACGCTACATTGACGTCAGATTTCAAGTCCGGGCAATTAAGATTGACATGCTTAAAGTACAGTCGCCATAAATGTCAATTCTCGCTTGGTTAGCTTTTTCCACAACTTTGTTTAACAGTAGAAACTGAGCGTCTATATTATGCCTCTAATTAGTGTTGGTGCATGCCGATGAATTATTCTGTTTGATAAACTTCAAGTGAACAAACTCGGACACTAGTCAACAATCTTGATATCTACGTACAATTATCCCACTTTAGTGTTTCTATTTATTTGAATTTCTGACCCCAAATCTTTCTTACCATCACTGATACTGTCACCACCTCTAATAGTTTGAGGTTTGGCCTAACATTTTCATGTTAATTGGGTGTAACAACCTTAACTCTAGTGCAAACTTATTAAGTTCTACGTGAGTGACTGAGCTATCCTACGTAAATTAAGAATACAATCCATAACATTTCATCATCTAAGGAGCAGTTTTCTGTAATCGCATTAAAAACATTAGTAAATCTCAAGATTTGTTTGCGAAAAGCTTGCAAGATCTAAGTAACGACATAAGTCCCCATTAACTTCGAGTAACTGAGTTCCGAAGTTTTAGGTAACCTATTGTAAGTAATCTTGTTTAAAGTCTCAACGAACGCAGAACCTTTAATATGGTCATGAACAGTTAATAACTGCTAATACATCGTTGTCAATCACGTTACTTCATAAAATATCTCACTCATTTTACTGCAGACGTTTTCATTTGGTTTTTTATAAAAAGCATGATCTAAGATTTTGCCGTCAACACAATGTGAAGATATGGCAGCGGCAAGTAGCCAGCATACTAGTTGTGTACAAAGATTTGAAGTGTAACAAGTAGGGGTTAAAATATTACTAAAATATCCCAATTAGCTCAGCCTTCATTTTCGAAATACTCGATATCTAGCTGACTGATACGTAAATAGTACTAACGTACTGTCATGCTCTACTTGTCATATGCGAATCTAACGTGTTAGAATGCAATGATCTATTATTTTTACAACTATTGGAAAGCTGTTTTTAAGTGACACGCAATCATCAGTCGACTCGGTTAGGTGAACAAGGTGTTAAATACATTGGCAATTTGATCATACTTAATTTTACTATGAATCTTTTATGTATACTTCTACGTGTTTAACATTTTCATAATCTCAGTTTGTTATACAAGTATGTCAAATATCTGCACTTTCTTATTGTTGACAGCCTGTCGAGCATCCTCACGGTGGTGGTAATCATCAACATATAGGTAAACCATCTACGATTCGCCGTGATGCATCACATGGTCGCAAGGTTGGTCTAATAGCTGCTAGACGAACTGGACGTATTCGTGGTACCCGCACAATTACTTCAAAATCCGACAAGGAATAAAATAAAATAATCATGTGGTATGAAAGGCTTTTCAGCTTCGCCTAATGGGTTTATTCATTAACTGTTCACTAAATTGCGTAGCACGAGTTCGTCGGAATCCTAACCATATATTAATGTACATAGTTAAATGAAAGTTTGTTGGGGATAATGGTGTTTTAAGCATAATCCCAAGAGTTGCTTTTTCAACACCAGAACAAAGCAGTGATTGCTTAAAATTTATTGAGCGCGAAGTACGCGATGATGACAAAGCGTTAAAAGAAAAAGTTTTTTCTCTTAGATGGATGTCCACTTTTTCCTATGGAATGCATCTGTTCGGTTTCACGGAGTAATGAAAAATTGGTCCTTGTGTAACATTCTACCTACCCTTGAATAGATGTGTCTCAAATGGTCATTTTTGGACCCGTGCCAATCACATGTCATACGATACAAAAATAATGCTATGATAAACATTTTAGCTACGGCTTTAGATCAAGGTGATCGTACATAGTTTCCGATCTTGCTAATCATTAGATATACTTGAAAGTGTTGTATTAATATGGTACGTCACTAGTTAGAAATTAAAGACGGTAAAACTCGATCTAAAATCAAGTGTGTCAAATTACAACTCTCCACAAAATGGGACGTCTAAGTCACATTCCTCGCTATAGGAATTCTTTTCTCCTTAAAATACTTCCGATAGGATCCTAGTAAATTTGTTACTTGAACTTCAGATGTTTACGGTCGTCTATCTGCAGCATGTGATCACGTCGAATCATTGAACGTCCACACAGTTGTCGTCAAATCCTACAGGAAACAGAAGCTTGTTCAAACATCCCAGTGTAATTTCGGACTGTTTTGATTTTGAAAACGGATAGCTATTGTACTGGCGATTCCATCTATTCGTGGATAACACGCGGTTGTGAATCTCAGGAATGTTCGCTCTTGCTTTAGCCTAAGTGTGTGACTCATCGGTTAGCTCTGTGGTCGCCTCCAATCTACCAGTAGTAATGCTATTTAAATAAAATAAGCACTCTGTGAAGCACACGACTGATGAGGTTATATACAGCACTCGATAGTAGAGCATCTCTATGTTGAATCGCTTCGTGGTCCCAATGGGAAATGTATTTTTCGCAACAGACATCAAACCACTAGGACATTGGTCCAAAACTAGCGTCACTAAGTGTTGGTGTCAGTCATGTATCAATATTTCTGACAATGCATGTGAGTTACATCCCCATACAGCATCGTGCAAATGGTTCCTTTGCTGGAATACAGGTTGGGCAATTATTGTCAGAGTACACCATGTTCAAACAGTACATTTGATCTTAGTAAGTGATGAGTTATCGTTTTGTTTAGTCACCCCTTTTTATCAGCAACTTATTAAGTACATTTGTAATGTAAATATAAATCTTTGGTCTTAATATCGAACAAATGTAATCACAGTGATTAAGTCACATGTCCTTTATTTGGCTCCAACTACCAACCACGTATTTTCACTATCTACCCTACGTTGGCACATACTTGAACTACAATCGGTTTTCGACGAAGTGTGGAATGTCTTAAAGCAACTTCATTTATTTAAAAATTCCCTACCTCGCTTGTAACCACCTATTTATGTAAGATGTCATTGTAGTGAAGACTAAGAGTACATTAAACTATTTTAGATTAAAAGAAAAAAATATGTAAGTAATAACGCCATTTTAAAAATCTCATCTACAGCTTAGTTTACTTTTAAGTCATTGACTTCGGAACTTTGTTGCGGAGATAATGGCAGCAATTTGTCTTCGTGTAGCAGCCAATCCAGAAGTATCTTTTATATTCCTTTTAAATACAGATACAACAAACGAAATATCTAGATAATACGTTTCTCAAACTGATTATAGACGAGCAATTAAAATATAAATTGATACCATTTGAAGAGGAATTTATAACTAGAGGATGTTTTAAAGTTTAGTAATATGCACTTTAGTTCATATTAAGCTATCTAACTCATCAGTGATCTTACTCTTACTAGGGCCCAGCTCCAAGTTAGATTTTCTGGGATTTTTGCTGTGAAATGTAAATCTTAAATTCACAGTAAAAGATGAGAAAATTAATGACTTCTGTCTGAGTATAACCTTTAGTGTTTTATCTTGCGTAGTTTGGTAGTATCGTTAGTCATAATAATTTCAAGCCTGGTACATCTAAAAGAAAATCCTTCACGAAGCACCGATCCTTCATTATTGTATGTATTTATAATCAAGTACATAGAACCTAATACTCTCGATGAACTGTTTGCTAACGTGCAACATAAATATTCTTGATGTTACGATTTCAGTCGATTTGTGGTACTGCACATTCGTTCAAAATAGAACATGTGAAACAGTTTGCTGCCTATTGATTTAACGCTACAAAAATACTAAACTACCATTCCCATGTTATGATTTTTGAAGTAAAACAATTGTAGCGACCCATGAGTAAAAATCTATAGTGTAAATTATCTAACAAACTAATAACTTTAGATGAACCATCTTTCTTGATAACGATCCGTTTATCTTACAGGGAGAATTCGAACTCACACACACATGTACCAGCAGTAGAGTATACTACCAAAGTCTCAAGCTAAGTATTGATATGATATTTGTTCATGATTCAAATTATAACCAGTATTAACTAAGTAGAGCATATGGTTTTGATATTGACGATAAATGAGTAATCCATGGTTTACAGATACAAAGAGCAGTTTTTATGTGATTCATTCAACAGTCTGTCCAATATAAATTATGTTACTGAGTAATTTCGTCTGTAAATTCTTACTTAAAGTTTTGGAAAGAACGCCTTGCCATACCATTATTAGAATTAGAAGTCTTCGAACTTTCTGGAAGAGTACGTTTGGTAAACTGTTCAGACTTTACCGACGATGAAGATATTGGTGGTAATAAATGGCTATCTTCTTGGTTTTCATGCAAATTAGATTGTCTCTGATCTGATTCAGATTCCTTTGAGGAATTACTTAGTTTCATTAACTGATCCCTTGTTTCAGCCAATACAGAGTTTAATTCATCTCTCTCCCAACATTCTTTTTCAACTGTAGCGTAAAGTTGTTTAACCTAGAAAGACGGTGATCAGTTATTAACATTCTACAGATAGTCTAACTGATAAATGTCTAGATAATCAAAATAGCGACAATTGATATAACTCTACTGACGAGAATTTATCCAGCATAGCCGTCAAGCTGAGTAATACACGTTGGTGTCAGAGTATATTTGACTGATGTTGGAAAGACCTAAGCTCTAAACACTGGTTTTAAATGGGATACTCATTCAACTAACTCCGGCCCGCCCAGCCGGGTTTTGTCACACTACTTTAGTGTGTAACGTAGGTCGTATACACGGATCTGTACTTGTTCACTAAGAAGAATTGGACTGAGGGCTTGGCAAAAGTCTTCAAACTTCCTTAGTTAGGTTTTACACTTCACAGTGCACTGTTAAACTAAATCATCTTGTTTGTTAGTCCTAATATTATAAATTGTCAATAAAATCAATTATTGTGGTGGAACGAGACGACATTGGCAACGTACGCTATTACTCATCAAACTCTAGTTCCAACATACCCTCAGTATCACATTCAGATGTACTAGACCCTATAATTCAAGACGATAATAAAGATTAGATAGTTTCTGAAGAGCATATGAGTCTAATATCCTAGCTAACTCCTTAGACAATCAGACGCCTAAAGTAATTCGAATCAAGTGTAAATTTTGGAGATTATTTTTTGTTTTAATTAAATGAAGATGAAAAAGACATTAGTGAGACTACATGATCAATGCTGTATGTGTCTTGATTATATTTCATAACAGTCAATTTTTAGTGATATTCAGTGAGACTGTGATTAAATGGTGTAACTGAAACTAGTTGATGAGACTGACTATTCTCATGTGAATTACCAAGTGTCTGCAAACTACGATGTTTTATGTCAAATGTACATAAAAATAAATAATTCTTTGAGTAATATTTCTCTAACAATGGAAGAATCGTAAACTACACAAAGGACATTTATTCATACTTAAAATAAGATAGTTTATCTTTTGATTGTAGTACTCTTCAGAATCATTCACCCATAACTCGTTCGTTGTTTATAGTGAGGAATCTGAGGATAAACTTCAAACATTTATAATCACAGTGGTGACCAATAAAATGTTTTCCTAATCTTTTAATGCTGAGCGAATGTTATCGATCAAGCTACAGTGTGTACACTGGTTGGTTGTTGAAATTCGCGCGCTCCTTGTTAATGTATTAGGTCGGTGGAAAACTTTAGGAGTAGGCTTCGTGCTGCTTTGGACTCGTCAAGAGTCGTTGTATGCAGTGCTAATAGAAGTGGTTTTCCCTATAGGATTCAGATCTACACTACCCAGCTTCACCGTTTGAGACGTTACTACTGATATATTTGTGCAGTGACCGACCGGAGTTTCGTCAAGATTTCAATTACATCTTGTTAGTGACTGCTATCTAGCGTAAAATCTAGCTTCAGAGATTCCTGCTGACTATGTCCGGAAATCAAATTAGATCCACTTACTAATTTTTCGTTTTAGTTCTTAAATAATATGCGGTACGAAACAACCTTTAGAACAAATTCCTGACTGTGGAACTTCATCTGCGATTATCTTAATTAATAAAAAAATACTAAAGACGATGTTCCTAACTTCTTGTTGATATCTTTGGATTTGATTTTCAAGTTCTACTCGAACGGAATCCGAATTGTTCACGCTATTAGTCAATTGGTTAATTTCCTCTTTCATCGTTTCCATAATACGACGATGTTCTTCTTGCAAAACAATGTTTTCTCTTTCTTAAAGATTAAAAAAATAAAATGAATTTTGATAAGGGAAAAACACTCGTACTTGTTATTACTATTAGTATTCTAAGTAGCAATAAGAGTAGTTATTTGAAACAAGCAAATATTTCCTGAGCAAAGGTAAGCGTTTGAATTGTCAACTAATAAGATCTCACTGTGGACTGGAACTGACGCTACGAATGTTCACTAAAAAGCAAAGCAATCCATTCCTAATTACAGCATGATTGGTTATACATAACTTGAAACTAGTTAGATTTTTGGATCAGACCAATTTATGGACTACCTTCGAGTGACGCTAAAATGAACTTGAGGATGTACACCTACTTACTAGGGCTAAATGAGAGTTATAAACCAATGTGAGGAATTAGGATTATGATTTACTGTTGATGGTTAAGATTAGGAATTAGATTTAAGGTTCGCATCAGCTAAAATGTCAAAGTCCTAATTAACCAAAAAGATGGATGAATTTCGCGCCAAAATCCAAGACCTATGCATAAATTATAATCACGCCTATTTATGTTTCACACTTTGATGGTTATAAATATCTAGTTTACACAATATTAATTGTTGAAGAGTTTTTTAGTTAGCAATAAGCAACGATACATAGCTTTCTATTTTTCAGTGTTCAGTAATAAACCCAATCTTTTAAACCTGGAATAATCTCAAGATGGCTTTTACTCTGCCTACATCATATAAAAACTATGTTATCATCAATTCTGTATATTCCTTGATATAATCAATCTCAAACACAAAGTAGTTTTGAAAATTTAGGAACATCCAGAAATACTTTTTATCGCATTAACAAATGACAGTCTGTTAGATGATTACCGCAATTTTTAGGTTGCTAATGATTTATATACGTAAATATACCATTACTATTTGTTCAAACTACCTAAAAGAAATTTGTAGCGAATCAATAGAGTCAATTTTACTGTGCAACGGCTAGAGATATTGTTCAGATTGAAATAGGTAGAGTGAGGTTCAAAGTTGTCAACCCCTTGTTTGGCTATGGTTTTCTTATGAATTTAAACACGACTTGATCCGAAACAATCTAAACACTAGAATAATACTGTTCCTCTTCTACTTTAGGCCTTTACAATCATTTAGCACCTATACGACAAAGTTGATTCGCAACACTATTGAAAGTTATGTGGAAATCATAGTTTCATAAATAGTAGAAGTTATTATTTACGACTAAATATTATCAAACATGGCTCATTATAGAAACCAATGAGAATCCTTTTGTAGTCTGTATTTATATTCATTATAAAAGTGAAACGAAGTTCTTTAGCTAAAGGAATTCCTGGTTGTATTTGTTTAGGATTATAATATATTCTCGTTCACTTATTTCTACTCATTTATTTACTTGATAATGCCTCTTCTCCTTTCTCTACTTCTTCATAATCTTATTTTCTTTTTTTGTTTGGTGTATACTTATTTTGGTCTTCATTTTTACCTAAATTTAAGTGTTTAAATAGACAGTTGTCCACTACAAAATACATATCATCATTGACTGTATTGTGTTGCCTGAGTTTGATAGTTTAATTAGGAAGCCTCTATTTTATTCTGAACGACATCATCATGCAGAAGAATGATAATGAATACTTTGTAGTTAAACTACTTAGCTCAAACTACATTCTCAATACAATGAAACGCATCCACCTCAGTTATAAATCTTAACACATAATTATTATCAAAACAAGTATAAAGTGATCCATACGAACTCAATCTTTTGTTGGATTGAATATAACTGGCAAAATGTTGGTCATACTATTGCAAACATGAAAATGTATAATTAGGAATTATATCTCTCTGAAAATAACCGTTTTATTGT